CCCATCATGATCAATACATGTGACAATAAGCGACACATGTTTCAGCATCATGATAGTAACCATGACATCTCAAATCTTCTCAGCCCTTGATTTTTGAGATCTTTCATCCCAGCTCATATTTCATCTAATTGGGGTCGTAAAACTTGTGTAACTGTGCCTGTTGCATCCTCGCTGCAAGGGTATTTTACACGTATAAATGAAGTCCTTTGAAGAAGGATGTGCCTGTTGTTAAATACATGTACAATGCCTTACTACATTATGTAATGTATTGACATTAAGGTAGATGATTACAAGATAACAATCACACTTATTGACATTCATAACTCTTCCCATCTATGCTCAGGTCACAGAATATGCCTCATTATATCAGAGCATGTTTCAGGTGAAACAGAAAGATCAGAATGACGTTTCAGACCCGTAGCCAGGATTTGCCAAGGGGTGGGTTACTTTTTTAAGAAATTCCAGGGGAGTTCACTTTTGGCAATGTTAGTTCAAAAATGGGCAAAATAATTTAAAAGGTGCTCAGTATGGGGTAAAAAATGCAATTTTGGTCACGGAGGAGGGGGGGGGGGTCGCTAGAACCAATCTATCCACCCTGTATTCGGGCCTGCATGTGCTACAGCGTATCTACATGTTTGACAATTTGATTGACACGGTTCAAAGTGGACTTTGTTAATTATTCAAACTGTTTTAAAAGAGGAATATGCGTCCAAGTTAAAGTCACTCGAAATCAGGGTAGATAAACCTAAGAAAAACACATTTCGTGTTTTCATTTGATCTATATCATGATCCTGTAAAAATGTCAGATTTAGCAAAATAGATAGGCGATCTCCATCTGCACACGTCTACTCATTTCGACTAAGCTATTGCCTATACTTACACGCACACACATACTTTTTAAATTAATTTTATTTTGATAACGATTTAAAAAACACAAATTATTATTAACACGAAATTAAAATGATTGTTATATTCCAATCCTAGTAAAGTATAATTAAGGGCGACTATAGGGCATAACAACATGTGGCCGGTCTAATTATACTGTTTGTTTTGATAAGGCTGTGCAAAGAGATATCAAAACTCTTGACACGCTCTTTACACGCGAGGTCTTTGCACCTCTTGACACGTCTTGGAATCTCTAGATACGCGGAGTTCCTAGACTATCTTTGCACGTCTAGAAATTGCTTGGAATTTCACATTTGACGCAGTGAGAATGCATGAATGCATGAGATACTCTGTTTGTCTAATTGTATTGTTTAGTATATTTTTGAAAGTACCTTATTAACATCTAACAGTCATCAGATAAACCATTATAAGGAACAGACAAGTACAAACAAATAACATTATCATCACTAATAAGTCAAATGGGTTGCTCATGAACATCAAATGCTAGAAACCTACATTCTTATGATTGAAAAAAGCTTAACCAAGGCCTGTTTGAAATTTTTGGTTATTACTAATTTTTCAACTGAAAAATCTGACGATGAAAATTGTTTTAAGACTTGATTCATGGAAAATGCCGTCGTCAGAAATGATACAAATATGTTGTCAATAGTTTCAATGTTCACGAGGAATGTCGAATCAGCTAACATTGTATTTTCCATTTACCAATATTCAATGTCAATATACCAATACGCGATAACGTTTAATTTCGTTCAGTTTAGCTACCTCTTGTTTGAAGAGCTCTCATGTATGGTACAACTTCGTCTACATCCGGGTTCTTTCCCATTGGATTACTCAGGGGTGCTATTTTCAATGCCGCACTGCGGCTCTATTAAACATTTATGTAGAGTTTCATTTGCACAAACGATAGGTATGTATGTAATTAAGATATATGACAAAGCTTTTTGAGCTATAATCCCCAAATCCGAAGAAATCTGTAGTTGAAAATACCGTCCAATTCCAGTGACGTCACTGATATCCCAGAAATTGCTCAGACGCCATCGAAGATAGAAAAAATATAAATAATGTTACTTTGAATCTCCGATTATCTTTCTGATTATTGAATAGATTGGATTATATAACTATGCTTGAGGGCTGATGGAAGATCAGAAGCTGAGAAACGTTCAGAGTAATCGACTCGTTCGGCGGGCCAATGAAAATTTGTCCCTTCCAAAGTGATGCATCATGGGAGATACTTATGTAAATTACCACCTGAACTCTTATCGCGAATAGGAGTATTGGGACTGTTGTCATTCAATAGTCGAACTTCAAACATAATTCATCTGTTAATTAGAATTTGAAACATATGTCAAGTTTAGAGAAAATAACACAGCCGTTGGACGTTGGAAGCTTTCTTACAATTTTAACTAATACAGTAGTTGTTCGTTCAGTGCGATCGTTTCTCCTTTGCCTCTGAAGATTTATAATTTCCGAGGCATATTATGCTGGTTCCTCAGAGTAAATCGCTAATTTGAACCGTTTCCTTATAAAACAAAGAAATACATTTCCCCCGTTAAAGTGTAATCCTAACCTTCAACACTAGATGATCATCGAGAAAGAGACTGGCAACTGCAGTGATTTGATCCCTGTGGTTGATTTATAGCTATAATTTCACCATTATCAAATGAATGTGTATTTCACTGATGATATACTCGATTACGCTGGTTACCGGAACAGTTCGTTTCGTTAACAAAATGTCGGGACATCCTTTAGCTATAGTTTGACCATTATCAAATGAATGTGTATTTCACTGGTGATCCACTCGATTACGCTGGTTAATGGTTCGTTTCGGTAACAAAATGTCGGAACATCGAAGGTACGATTTTTCTTTTTTCCTTATTTCACACGTTGTAGGCAGAATTCCCACGGCATTAGTATCATATGTTTAAGAAAAAGAACAAAGTTGCAAACAGCTAGTTCAGAAGACAACAGAATCGTCGATTTGATTCCTCACTTAAGTTACATAAACAGTATTTCGAAAAACAGTTAAGATCTGCACTTTTCACCCATACCGTTTATGTAACTTGAGTGAGAAATTAAATCGATAAATTCTGTTCTCTTCTGGGCTATTCTTTCCCAAAGATGTACATTTTCTAAAACATATTATACTGATACACGTTTGTGGTAAAAATGTCGTGGGGATTCTGCCTACAACGCGTGAAATAAGGAAAAAAGAAAAATCGTACCTTCGACGTTCCAACATTCTTTTACCGCAACCAACGTAACCGAAAATTGATCGTCTGTCCCTGTGTCCCAATGCATTGCGTGATCAACTGAAAATAAAACTGTGCGAGCAAATTTTCTAAATTTTAGCCATTGAGGACATTTATCAATAACGATATCATTAGTAAATATATTTTTATGATATAAATTGAGATTAAGTGATGTTATGTGAAATAAATGGTGACTGAAGTGACTGAACTGAAAAATGCTCGCATAGTTTTATCTTCAATTGATCGGTATGGCCAATCAGAAAGTTAGCGGGCGCGGGCTTTTCAAAAGTTATATTGGCCCGCTGTCTTTTGTACAGTTTACACCATACATCATCATATGTATGTAATAACATAATATAGAGTAGCAAACAATAATCTGAACAATGCATTGATTTCCCAATATTATAACGTTTCGATATCACGTTATTAGTAAATGAATCATTGTATCTCCTTGAGAGTATGAAACTTTGTTTCAACTTTGGAAAATAAATCATTTATATTACTGTGAAGAGTTGAAATTTTAACAAACTTGCAATCCATCTTTAGTGGCACCTTCTGGATTTGACAGTAGTTTCCAAGCGCAAATGTCATGAAGGTGTGAAATACAATGTTCGTCAATGAGGATTGGCAGCCGTCATTCAATCTAGATCTTATGTTGCCTGGCGTGAAACAATTTGGTAACGATGTTCCCCATGTCTTGAAGACAAGTACTGCTAGGGGCGTTTGAATACTTTATTATATCACCATAATACTCACAATGTCCTCTTCCAATGAAATACTCCGTCCGAAGATGAACCTGATAGAAATATTATTACCTAATTGTTCCACGCCAGGAAACGCAAGATCGCGTTAAAGTAATGGGTTTCAACCCTCCTTGATTATTTGTTCAACTGAAATTATTGGATTATAAAAACCGTCTATCAAGTGATTCAAATGTTGTCAACGGGAAAATGCTGTCGTCAAAAGCTGTCAATACCATACAATAGCTGAACGTCAGGCAGCATTTATCTTTTCATCTTTATGTACTAATACATCATAGTCCAGCAGTTTGAGGAGGCATTCTCATACTTGAGCACCTATGGCTTCGCTTATGATGGAAGTTCCAAGAATCACGCTCATTGTTGCTGTTCTTTGGACGTCACCTTTGACAGTTTCAAGTCAAATGTGGGCGACTAGTGAGTTTATAGAATGCATAATAAAATACAGATCAGCTACGATGGCTCATTTTATTTTGTTACATGTAAATGAGAATTTCTAAAACTTGTAATAGCGAAATCGAAAATCAGAGGTATAAGGTGTTCACTTGATGTTGGGGATTCGGCCATTTTAAAACGGTTATATAAATGAAACGCTGATGAGAAATAGTTGCTAAAATTCATGGATATGCGGAATGGAGAACATGATACTTGTTTTCATGTTTTATATTCATTTAGGTCCAGGGGTGGGATGTCAACAAAACTGTCCAGGTTTTTTACTTTCTTATGAGTGCCGTAATATCTTAACTCCCGTCCAACAGAACGGGGTGTGTCAACCGGGCGTGGATTCACGAGGTTGTTGCGCTGGCTGCGTTACAGGTAAGTTTATGGGCCATCCGTGTCATTAGCAAACATATCATTGGTAGTCAGGGGTAGATCTATGAATTAAATCTTTTTTGTTCTTTTCTACCAATGCTCTGGAATGAAATACAACATCGAGGAATTAACATCAACATCCCCAAATAGTTAGGTGGAACTCCCCGAACCTCCGTTTGTATGTTTTTAATGTTTTATTTATTTTAGATAACACACACAAAAACTATGCATTACATGTGTATTTCACACACACAGGTTCGATTGACGCATCAACCGGTATTGGCATTCTCCTCAACTCTATACCTATTCCCAGTATTGTGGTATTTGATGCCACTGAACAAGGCCTTATCGATCAAGTAATTGCTGACTTAGAGGGTATCGAGCAGTTTGGAAACTTGGAGAATATACTAAATAATGTAGATAACCAGATTGTTCCGAATCTTTGTACTTGGGCCCAAACCTTTGCGACAAAATTGTGGAGTATTACGGACAACATAGAGCGTGTCATCGCTTTAGTTGATGGTCGAGGTGGGACATTTGGACCAAATGAGAGAGAGGCATTACAAGGTGTAATAAATCTTGTCCTTTGGTTTAAAAAATGCCTTTTACCAAGAGGTAAGTTACCTTTCAATCATATAGGCTATATTGTCCATTTCAAAACCAATGCTATAAAGTTCACTCTCCATTATGGTTTCCCCATGAAGTAAAAGGAATTCACATGATTTTCAAAATGAATATACATGCAGTGCTTCATTTATTGAATTTATGTATGCTAGTATAGTATCTTGTTGACCTATATTCAGTACTGTTTTGATGCATCGGCCACTTATTAAGGTCCATATTCAATCAGGAAGTGTAGAGGCGTAGATGTTAAATAAGCTAAACTTTTTGTATCTGTCAAAATCCATTTGCATCCTTTGCATCCTAACATCTTATTCACATATCTTATTAATTAATGAAACACAATAGTATGATCTTTGAACTTACAAAGTTGTATGACATTTGATAAGTGTAAAGCTAGCCCTTGGAGCATTTTTCTAAAGCCATTTTGTAGGGGAAAATGATGAAATCTTGTATAAAGTATGACTTGAATCGATTGCGAACGTCATATTTGCACATTTGATGAGATATACCATTTGTGCCATACTGTGAAATATTTTTAATTTGCATTCGATTCAGGCCATAGTGTATAATTGGTAAATTTGTGATTATGGATGGAAGCCAATGGCTTGTATTGCACCTCGGAATAGCCTGACGACGGTTTAAAATCGGATACCGTTGTCACAAATGGCGGACATAACCGTCACTTCAATATATTAGATTTTCATGAACTGTATGTTTAATAGAGCACGTAGACTAAATTTGGAACAACAATTAATCAAATTTTCTTAATACTCATTGTACAGTTAAATGTTCGACCATCGAAATAAAGTTATTTAATTTAACCATCAAAATGAAATACGGGACAACGGAGACTGTAATTACCATATACCGCTTTCTTTCTAAATTCCTCAAATTCAGATTCCATTGTCATTGACGATATTGAAGATGCTATATTGTGGCGATTCACGAGCCAAATTGATCACACATGGGATTTCATATGATACATTATCACAGGAGCTTAATGCATGCACAGAATTAGCGACGATAAAATCCCATGAAATGAGGACCAAGTGATTAAACAGTTGAAGCGATGGTTACGTCCGCCATTTGTGACAACGATATTAGACTTTACCGTAGTCAGGCTAGTCATGATATCCCCATGTTAAGTAAATGGAGCACATCTCATCTCAAATCAATACTAGTACACCCTTGCTGAACTTAATGTCCTCAACATCAGCCCATGTGAGTCCAAAAGCTTAATCAATTTCCAAAGTGTTATGTGACATTATATTCTTCATGTCACACCTTAAAATGATTCATTCTGACCATAATGATATTGCATATTATAATGAACAAGACAAGCGAATTGAGAAACAGAAGTTACAGCTGATGTCTTCAAAAGACTATGTGCAGGATGGTTCATACTATGTGCAGAAAGAGATAGACAAATAACCATATTTAGACCTATTTTGGACACCCAATATGTGCTAATAATCATCTCATAATCTTTAGTGCTTGAAGTCAGTGGCTTGGAGTGTTTCAAAGACGATTTGGGTTGCGATTATCGGCATCGTCCATTCTGTAAATCCGACTGCAGATGTTCGGAATGTAGAGATGACAACGACTGTAACGAACCAAGCAGGCCAAACTGCAGAAACAATCAAGCAGGGATAATGATATGCGGGGATCCTCACATATCTCAGACCATTAAAGGCGCTGAACATCGACGACTTTGCTACGACTTTGTGGGAAACCTGGTTCAGCATATCTGTTCTTCAGAGATTACGAGATAGGTAGATATCTTCGTTAAATTTGGAATGTCCTCTCCCTTAGAAATACGATCTGTTACTGAGATTTTCGCTAGTTGAGACTCAAATTTGACGATGAACAGCAGATTTTTTAGGTAGCTATACCCCGCGTGCCCACATTACATCGGAAGTAACTAATTTCTATCAGTTTCTTTTTTAGATATCAAAACAACGTTCATCGAGAATGAGGACGCCAACCTCGAGTCTTCTGTCGACTACATCGGGCAAATTAATGTAACAAGAAGCGACATCGAGATTTCGATCTCACCAGATCAGGTAATCTTGAGGACATCAGAATGTGAAACAATTTACCCGTGGAAAGAAGATACCGTTAAGCTCGAAGGCGGATTAATGATGACCGGAAAGAAACAAGTCCGTGTTTACTTAAACAATAACACGGTTGAGCTTGTTGTCACTCGTAAAGGACGCGCTAAGGGAACTAATTTCTTGAACTTTGGTGTCACAGAAAAAACAGGCATGACTATCAACGCCGGTGGAGTTATGGGTAAGTTGATTCCAATATTTGCAAACATTAACTAATATTTTAATAAGGGTTTTAAGCAATAAAAGGTAGCGATGAGTTGATTGTGATTTTCGGAAAGTAGTCACACTTTTCCAATGTATAAAGCTTGGTCATGGTATTCCTTGCCATTTGTCAGTTTATAGTGCTGATTTCATTTCACGAAAATGACTTGTTGAAAATTCCTGGACTCCCCACTTGTTCACACTTTCAGAATACCATGCAATGTAGATTATCGTTTTTACTGTTTTTACACATTGTCATGATCCCTTGCTGACTCATAATTAGAATATCATGTTTCTTTGTACGATTTTGCATTTAACATTGTTGTTCAAAGGGTTATTATTGTAAGAATTAGATTGCCCCTTCATTTTTAGAATCTGATTCGATCAATTCCATTTCATCAAATGATGCATGGATATAAAGAAATGCCTGTCTAAATGATCAGTAGATACCCAGAATCAAGCAATGGATTTAGCTTCATTGCCTTGTAGTTGTTCTTTACAAACTTCGGATATTAATCCTGTAGTATCTTTAACTTCTTTCATTCATTTGATCAGATATATTATGTTCCAGGTATGAACCATGAGGGGCTTATTTGCATAAGCTTGTAAAATATTGTTTTCGACATTTACACTTCATATATACAGTGTTCATATTTTTATCTTTGATGTAACTTTAAACGAACAATTGTTACAGGATGGATTGGTAACAAGGCTGTTTACAAGAATGAAGGCCCTCATTCTGGTTACATAACATTAGGAGAAGTCACAATTCCTGTTTACGACAATAAAGACGGCTGCTTGAAAATAGATGAAGCGTATTTGGACAAGTTCAGCTCTATCCTTCATTTGTTCGAAATGGACTAAAAGAGTAACAGTTATTCAAAACTTTTTCGAGGACTTTCTTTAACTAACTTGAATATTCGATCGATCATAATTAATGGAATTGTTCATATATTTATCAGTATTTTAGCTACTATATTTCTACAAATTTTGGCTTTTAACATACACTTTGTTTATTAACACACATTTTAGCTATTAACATACACTTTGGCTATTAACACACATTTTGGCTATTAACATACATTTTGGCTATTAACACACATATTTTGGCTATTAACAAACACTTTGACTATTAACACATATTTTGGCTATTAACATACACTTTTGCTATTAACACACATTTTGGCTATTAACATACACTTTGGCTATTGACACACATTTTGGCTATTAACATACACTTTGGCTATTAACACACATTTTGGCTATTAACATACACTTTGGCTATTAACACACATTTTGGCTATTAACATACTTTTTGGCTATTAAGAAACGTTTTGACTATTAACATACTTTTTGGCTATTAAGACACATTTTGGCTATTAACATACTTTTTGGCTTTTAAGACACATTTTGGCTATTAACATATTTTTTGGCTGTTAACATACATTTTGGCTATTAAAACAATTAAATAAAATGCATGGATAAACAGATATAAACGTTTTGTTTCATGAATGTAGAAGCAGTTATCTGGTAATAATTATATTATCATTCAGCATATCATGCTTTCGAGCATTTATATAATTTATTTGATTCTTGTGATAAGGAGTATGTGCCAGTCAGTGTTATTCATTCGATATGATGTTGAACTGTCAGGAACACATAGATACTTGAATGATGTTGATTGGACATCAGGGTGCAGAGAAATCGTAATTTTACTGAGAGCAAGGAAATTGGCACACGCCTTCATACTTTATTTTGTACCAGAAAAAGACATGTGCAGGTATAGCAATTTTTACAAAAATGTTATTTTCTAGCTGTACCTTAAAGAGATCGAGTCGTCCAGATTTCTATTCTGGACAATCAGTAATGTCCCAATATAATTGCTCATAAAACATCATATATACCTTAGATATATCTTGAGACCAAATCATAAGCACGATATCGACAATATATTGAGGAATGAACAGGACAACCAAAAGACCAATCAACTGTCAGAATTGAACAGAATAAGTCGAAAACAGAATACAATGTTTTTTGGTAATGTATCTATATTGTAACCACTTAGAAGTAATACATATGGTTTCTCTAAGCCAAAATAATCTGAAGGAAAAAGGCAATCAGACTGGAACAAAATTGAGCGGGCTTTTTAAATTTGAACTTCTATTGATGTAAGTGAAAATTCATGGCTAGGAACAATCATCGAATTGATATTGTTAACGAATTAATTCAAGCCTCAGAATTGATAAATTGATAAACAAACTTGTTTTACATCAAATAACACGAAAAAATCAGGGGGTTACTCTAATTGTGTTTTTAGGAGACCCGATCACCTTAAGGGTGGTAATTTCAAAATACTACACAGTGGCCAATGTTTTACCAAATTGCTACATTGTTTCAATGAATATGACGTTAGAACTGTAGTACATTTTAACATTTATAATATTCAACCATGACAACAACCGGATAACTGAATATCTAGGGCAAGTGTATTTCCAAAATAAACTTTGTTGATGGACCTGTCTTCTAGACGGTAGCTTCTAGACAGACATGAAATTGTTAAAATCAGCAATTCTTAATTTTGATTTTAGGACGTCAAATTGGTTAAAACGCATTAATAACACTCTTGCTTAAGTTGCTTGT